AACATCAACTTCTTCACAAAACTATTATTAAAACTAATGTTTCAAATTATCTTATCTTTAATGATTTATTGCTTATCTATTGATTTCTTCTTCTGAAAACAACATAATTATTTTTCATGCAGCTCATCTTGATTTATTGATTGTTAGCTTTGACTATTATCCAAATGCTTGTCTATATGATGTGTGCGTTTGTCTTAGACTTCTTTTGGAATGATTTTCTTAATGCTTTTTAAAGCAGTTTTCTAGTACTACAAAAAATTATATTTTTGTACTAAAAAATTGCTTTAAGAAATAATAAGAAAGTCATCTCAAACGAAGCATTACATGCCCTAAATATCCCAAAAAAAAAATACTTTTCACTGTTGGAAAGTTAGGTAATGATTAATAAAGTTAGTAGAGAGGGAAGAATAGCTTTATTTTTTAAACTTGAAAGAGCAAACCATAATTTCCAAAGGTTGGCAACCACTAAAGGCCATGCAAGGTGGTCAGTAGGGCTTTCTTTAGGCCACCTACCTTTCCACTCTTCATAGGCATAATAATTTTAGAAATCAGAGCCTTGCATTGGGTACTCATGCCCACACCCACCCATGTATGGGTATGGGTACGCCTATAGATTTGTGTATGAGTATGAGTAGGTACTCAACATCGGGGGATAAATCGATTTACATTGTTAATCACCGTATATCTTATATAATTGTAATCCTCACTACGTAGTATGCAGCACTTAACCACGCTGTGACTACGATAAATTTTGATATGTGGCTTGCAAGTTTGCAATCAGAACAAAGGTCAACAAGCCTCAAAACCATCAGTCCGTGGCATACTGTGTTTAAAAAATATGGAAAGTGGGTGGGTATAGGTGGGTACAACCTCCCGAAAGTCACCATGAGTGAGCATGGGTAGGCGAAGCCCGTCTGAATAAAGCATGGGTACCAAATGGGTACCCAAGTAGGACTTTGTTAGAGATATCAATGTGGATTGATAGATTGGATTTTAGTCAGGTTTAAAATTAATATATGAATATGCTTGAATTGATCCAACTTATTTATTATATTGATCAAAATATATAACCTAGATTTGACTCGACTCAAACCCGTCTAACCTGAACCCAACCTATTTAACCCGTTAATTATATGAATCATACTTTTTTTTTTTTGCAACTCATTTAACATGAACAAAACCTATTTAACTAATAAATGACTCATTTAACTTAAACCTGAGTAGTACTTAGGTTTATTACAGGTTTGTAGATTAACTCAAGCATGATCAAAAAATTTATTGGGTCAATATTCCAAACCCAAATCTAGCCCAGATTTTAACTAGATTAATCTTAACTCATATTTTAGGGTCGGTTTCATTTTAAGTTATTTTGTAAGACCAATTATAAACACCCTTAAAAATTCTTGTGGCCGTTCAAAAACTAAACTCTTACAAAATACTAAGGCACATAAAAATATTAAATTTAATTTTGCATAGTATAATTAAAATTAAATAGATATACATTAACAAATTAAATAGATATACATTAACCTCATTAAATTGTTATGTATATTTAATTTTACATAGTATAACATTCAAATATTTAATTCAAATCTTAAAATTGTCACTAATTTAAATTTATTTAAAGTAAGAGTTCGTTTGGGACGGCTTTCTTTCTGCTTCTTAAAGCAGCTTTGTAGTACACATTTTTTTAATTTTGTACTAAAAAGCTGCTTTAAGAACCATAAATAAAACAGTCTCAAACGAAGCCTAAAAAACTTGATTTAGACACGAAAGTGGTTCTATTAGGTATTTTAATTATTTACATATTTAATATCTTAAAATTAATATTTTTTTAAAATATTCAAATATTTAAATCAAATCTAAAATCTCATTAATATTAATTTATTGAAAGTAAAATGAGGGATTTAGACTCTAAAGTGATATATAAATAAATATAACAATTTAATTATTATATATATAAAGCGATAAGATTTTATGTTATTTATGTAACTCTCCCTTAAGATAAATTCATAAATATTGATGTGCACCTATAAATTCAAACCTTTTATTAGAAAGCAAATATGACATTATCATTAGCCAGAAAATATTTTTGTTTAGGTGGAAAATGAAAATTCTTACTAAACAAGAAAAAGACAAAAAAAAATTTCCCAAAAAAAAAAAGAAAAAGATAAAACATTCCTAATTTTACTTTTTTAAAATTTATAAAATATTAATGGATTCAAAAGTAGTACATCATGTACAAGCTGATAAAATTAGCGGAGCTCATCCTAATCTGTTGGTTGGGAAAAATTATTGCGTCCTCCCCACCTGACGTAGAGATGCGTCCTCCCAGAGCTAAAATCGCGCTAAAAAACAAGAAATACCAAGCAAATACCGAGCAATACCAAACAATAACGAGGAATATCATCATGTGAAGACCAATACCGAGTTATACCGAGCTATACCGAGCAATACCGAGCAATACAAAAAAACCTAGTTTTTCCTAGAAAAAACTCGGCATGTTTTTGTATTGCTCGATATTTTTCGGTATAGCTCGGTATTGGTCTTCACATGATGATATTCCTCGTTATTACCAAATAATACCTAGCAATACCGAGCAAAAACCGAGTTTTTTGGCGGTGGGAGTACGCATCTCTACGTCAGGTGGGAGAACGCAATAATTTTTTGTTTGTTGGGGGTCTTTGAGTTTAAAACTTTCTTACATATATGATATGCATGAGTTTGAATTTAATTCGCTAAAAAATCTAAAAAAATAAAACAAACTAGCAAATACACAAAAATATGCGTGAAATTATTACATGCGGTCATTGGACGCCATCCAGAGGCGAATCAGAAGGTGTCATGTCACTTTTTGTTGTGTATTAGTATTGTGTACTGCTGTGTCTCGATGTGATGTGACGTAACGTAACCTCATTCGTCTCCAAACTATCCGGTGACACAGATAAATAATTTCTCAAAATAAGGCTAAAGTGTGTTCCTATTCTATGTCCATGCCTTGTCATGTCCATGTTGCCGCTTCAAAATCTGTGCATCATAGATGTAATCATGTAAAAGAAATAGAACTATAGAATAGAAGACATAAAAGGAGCAACACAATATTTGCTTTGGGAGAAGACTTTAAAGTATGATCCTTGTGAGAGAAATATATATTAAACAAGCACCAAAAAAAATGTTTTTACTTTCTAGTCATTTGTAACAGAATGATTAGCCATAGTTTTACCTTTACAAAAGAAGTTTCATCATGGTTTAATCCTTCAAAGTAATCTATATGGGCATCTCCAACCGAAAAATCGATTTTCCACTATATAGTAAAACTCCAAAATACAGTAATTCATTTCCAATCGAACTCTATCTTTTCTCCTCTTTCGCGCGCTTCTTAGGCAAATCCAGTAACACAAAAAATTGGCGTAGGTGAACTATGCGGCGTCAATATTAGCATCACACTGTTCACCCACCGAATTTTAATGTGTGATCTATCATTCAAATGGAGCGAATGTCAGATGGCATACCATCGCATGAAGTTCGGTCGGAGATAATCTTAAGGCTCATTGCTACAAATTGCTAGAGCAAATCTTGAAGAACCTGGAAGGCTGGAAGCTGACACAACGATCGGTTGATCACATTAGACTGGCTTATAATTTGATTACGATATGTTATTAATGTTTTTATGAAATTTGATTCTCTAACATTTATCAAACCGATTTTCCACTCTAAAATATAGTAAAACTTCAAAATGCAGTAATTCATTTCCAATCAAACTCCATTTTTTCTCCTCTTTCACGAGCTTCTTAGGCAAATCCAGTAACACAAAAAATTGGCATAGGTGAACTGTGCGGCGTCAATATTAGCGTCACACTGTTCACCCACCGAATTTTAATGTGTGATCTATCATTCAAATGGAGCGAATGTCAGACGGCATACCATCGTATGAAGTTCGGTCGGAGATAATCTTAACTCTTAAGGCTCATTGCTACAAATTGCTAGAGCAAATCTTGAAGAACCTGGAAGGCTGGAAGCTGACACAACGATCGGTTGATCACATTAGACTGGCTTATAATTTGATTACGATATGGTATTAATGTTTTTATGAAATTTATTCTCTAACATTTATCTCCAAAATTAGTAAAAGATATATTATTAATTTTTATTGAATTTATAAATAGTTGGTTGTTCTTGGAGAAAATAAATAAGATAAGATATTCATTCAAATATGTAGAACACATGAATAAAAACTACAGGATAATTTTGATAAACAACCTACAATAAAAATAACCTCGTTATGTGATATTGAGGGCACATGAGATATAGTAAAGCACTGCTTGATATAAATCATGCCAGCAGTTCCCCACACAACATTTTTTTCATTATTCTTCAAAGAAAATAAGCAGACAGAGAGTAGAGCAATACTAGCAGACAACAAGGCATGGCCGGGAGATATTCATTATGTAATCTTGAAGACGAGAAATTATTCTGTGTGGAGATCAGATGCAGAGCGTCAATCGGAGACCAATCAAAATGTGTCACGTCACCGATATCAGCCACGATACCGAGCAATGGATGACGTGGTGCATTCTGATTGGTCTCCGGACAGCATTCACCATCCACACAATAATTAATCCTTGAAGACACATGACATGTAATGAAGACCCTTCTAGCGATTATCATGTCTGGAGCTTCAAACAAATTTTTTTTTAATTATTCTTCAAAGAAAATCGTAAGTCAAAGGGTTACACAAAAGTAGCAGAACATGCTGGGCTGCGAGATTTCTCAAAGTGAGAGAATTAGAACTTCAAAAACTATTTTAGTACCCAATTTCAGATCTTACCAGCCTTCAAATACAAATGTAATGGCCTCTGAGACAAAGCTAAGGTTCTCTCTTTAACGTTGAGATTACAAGAAAAATAGTATACTTGTAAGGAAAGGGATTGAGCTCAAATAATTACTGGAGGAACTATTTCTGGAGTTTAACGCAATTCTTGACCAAAACAGTTCAAAAGTTGCAAAATCAAGGCTTTAATCAAGCAAACAAACAACAGGTTTTGTTTATACTTTTCTCTAACCTACGAAGTTTATTCATCGTAGTTCTTAAATTAAAGGCTGGATTGATCCTAAAGCTTCCAGTTAGAATGCCATTTTTTTAATGGCTAAAAATACACTAACCATAGGAGAAAAATTGAGCAATTGACACCATTTCATAATGGCGGAGTATAGATCTGTCAAGCAAACGCTTCATGGAGGCCTGGCAAGTGCCTTTCTTGGACAAACGCTTCAAAGAGTTAAAAATCAATTTTATGGAACAATTTCTGAGATAGAAGAATCGCAAGCTTGAAAATACATGAAATCTATAAAGCAAGCCTGATCTTACTGTAGTTTGCCCTCAAGTTTGACAGTTTCCAACCATGTACCAAGAACATAGGCAAGTTTGAACTCATACAATTTATGAAATGTACTCTAGACTAGAAAGGCATTTCCAATTGTCTTTGTTTTCAACTGAGAATTCAAAACACATTGAGGATCTGAAATAATCATCACAATAAAAACTAAATAAACATCAAGATGAATCAAATTCCTGTTCACCAAAAAGTATTGACAACTATTTGTGAAAACTTAGCCTCCTCAATGTATCTCCAAGTCTCCCAAAAATTGTTTTCTTTTTTTTAACGTTCATGTTTTCCTTGCCTTTGCACTGTATTCCTTCTAAATGATCAAACGCATTTGTGTCTATGGTTTCCCTAGATGATGGGACTCGTTTATCAGAGGCTTTCCTAAGAGAACTAAACATGATACTACTACTTTCAATTGATTTTTCTCTGTCAAATGTCGAGCCGTTGAACATGCCTTGCTCTCCCACAGAATGCCTGCGGCCAGTCCAGATTGAATTGTCATTAGGTTTCCACTTCTCAGATGAGAATATTTTCAGACTCCTCCTTGCCTTTGCATCATGAGTTGTTGTTTGTGGTAGTCTAAACGACCCAAACTCTGACAAATTTGAGGTCTTTTTTGAAGTTGAAGCTGAAGTTGAGGCAAGTAAGTCATTCAGCTCTCTTACACTGTCAAGAGCAGCAGCTTCAGTTACTTTAAGGCTTTCATAATCTTGCTGTATTTGCTGCAAGCTATTACCCTTCTCAAAGAGTTGATCCTTCATCTGAAAATTCTCACTCCGAATGATCTCTGCTGCTTCCTTTAACGCTATAGCCTCATTCACTGCTTCTTTCATTATTTGACGCAGTTTAGTATTATCCTCCCTTGCAACCTTCCAGTCATCATTCAGTCTACTGTTATCTTGCTTCCACTTGGTAATATCTTCTTCTGAAACATTCAGACAGCTTAAAAAGCTGTCCTCTTTTGCTCTAGAAGCAGAAACGGATTCCTCATACTCCAACTTCAATTTATCATACCCATTCAAAGCATCCATTAGCTTCTGCTCTGTGCTCTCCAATAAAGATTTTGTATTTTTAGCTTCTTCTATTGCTTTATCTAGCTCAGCTTGTCTATCAGCAAGCTGTGCCTTTGCTTGGTTGGCATCAGTAGATAATTCCTTAAGTGCAATCGCAAAATCATCCATGGCTTTCTTGCTCTTATCTTCTGCCTCCAGTGCCAATCTAAGCTCTTTTCTAAGCTTCATCATCTCCTCTTGGGTATTAGCAGAGTCAAATGCTCCAACTTTCTTACTCTCACTCCTAGCTGACCGCTCTATCTTTCTTATAATCTCTTTAAGATTCTTGATCTCTAACTTCGCCTCTTCAAATGAAATATTTGTTTGCTCGAGCAGCTTGGTCTGAAAAATCATCAACTCAAGCATCTTCCTTTCTGAATCCTGAACTTTCAAATCTTGCAATTCTCTGGGCCTAATCGTATCCTTGAAATCTCCATCCATCTTCTTTAATTCAGCAAGTTCTTCAAGAGCACGGCACCTCTCGTCCTTTGCCCTCCTTAGTTCCTCGTAGAGTTCGCCCATTTGATGTTGCATATCAGAAACTCTAACTGACCTTTGCTTCTGTTCCAGTTGGAGCAATACAAGAGCTGAAGTTAGAAAAAAAATAAGGTTTTAAATCATCAAATTGGAAGAGGTCGTTTAGAACCAATTCAGTACCTCTTGCAATAACGGGAACTTGAAGTAGGACTTCCGTTCAGAAACTTTAGAAGCCATCGAGCCCGCAGAATCCAATGAAGAAGAAAGACCGAAGGCTATTTTAGGTATCGTGCTCTTCAGATTGGGAGGAACTGATTAAATAGATCCCTATTTGCATCTGAGAAAACCCTGATTTGAAAACTGGACCCTTTTTCAGAGATCTATAGACGCTTGAGTCGGGAACGAGGGACTGGAATCCTACCGATAACCATAACCAATCAGACATCCAGTTTGGATTTTTTTTTTTCACAAAAATCCAAACTTCAAATCCAAAAACCGCAAATCAATTTAAATCGTCCATAAAGGAGGGAGCTTTACAGTACCTCGACCTATAAACTTGCACTTTGAACCGTCCCGAAAAGAAGTTATCCGTTAGAAACGTAGATAAAATGGGGGAAAACAAAGGAAGAAAATACTGATAAAAGCAAAAAAGAAGGGAAAGATAAATATAGATATGGAAGACATTACTGAGTCAAGATCAAAGGAGGAGCTAACAAACTTCAAAGGGTTTCGTTTAGCTTTTTGCGTGATGCCTCTTCAAAGTTTCGATGGGATCCAGAAAGAGCCGCTGCGAAGAGTTGACGGAGGCTACGAATTTCAAGTCCAAGAAGACGGAGGAAAAAGCCGGGAAGTGTCTTTCAAGGCAGAGCTGGAGTGATCGCCATTATATCTCCGGGTAAGTGGTTCTTGTGTCCACTGGTTAGATCAGACGGTTGTGAGTTGTTTGAGGGTTGATTCGATTCCGTACAGCGTCATTGGTGAATTGGGAATGCTTGTGATGCATGAAAGAATGAACGAATCCTCATAATTTTTTTATATTAGGATTTTCTTATTAAAATATTATTAAAATAAATATTAAATTTTAAAATTATTTCTTAATGATTTTATATGAACTTTATCTTACAATATATAAAAAGAATTTGAACACCAAGATAAAAATTTTGATCATAATATTTTGATAATTTTTTTCTAAGAATAAAAAACTCCTTAATGAGTCTTCAATACTATAATTTTTCTTATGTAACATCCTAAATTATATTAATTATAAAATAACACTCATATATTTCTATTTAATTTTGAAGGCCACACCGAAATCATCAATTCTTATTTTAATGATTTATTCCATTTTTTATATTTATTTATTATATATATATATATATATATATATATATATTATATATATATATATATATGAGTTTTTCATTTTAAAAATAAATGTTAGATTTATATATAAAAAAGATTTCATTGTTACCACGTAAATCTTCATTTTTCTTTATTAATGTTTCCCTGAAAATAAATTCACATTTAAATAATAATATTTTTTTTGTTTTTATTTATTTTCTTATGTGTCCAAATGCATTATAAATTAGAGTCAATCCAAATTAATTTGGCCATATAGTTAGAAAAATGCTATGTCGTTTGGTTGCCATGTACAAATAAAAAATCATTCAAGCACAAATGCATGACATTTTTTTAATTTTTATTGGGCCACTTAAGCGAGCGGACGATATGTGATAAGAGCAGAATTCCTCTTATTTGTTGGTTGAGAACTTTACATATCAAGCAAAAGATTTTGGGTTCGAGTTCAAAATAATCATTCTTATTTTAATTAAATTATATAATAATAATATATATATATATATATATATATATATATTATATATATATTATTAATTATATAAATATAAGTAAAAAAGATTTCATTGTTATACACATAAATCTTCATTTTCTTTAAATTAATGTTTCCCTGAAAAATAAATTCACATTTATAATAATAATATTTTATTTTATTTTTTTATGTGTCCAAATGCAATATAAATTAGGGTCCATCCAAATTAAATTGGCCATATAGTTAGAGAAATGCTATGTCGTTTGGTTTGGCCGTGGACGAATAAAAAATCATTCAAGCACAAATGCATGACATTTTTTTTTTAATTGGGCCACTTAAGCAAGCGGACGATGTGTGATAAGAGCACGAACTCCTCTTAATTTGTTGGTTGAGAACTTTAGATACAAGCAAGAGAATTTGGGTTCGAGTTTAACGTATGTGATATATGTGTGAATTTGTCCACGGGCCAACTCATTTATTATGAATGAGAGAAAATTATTATAGTTTAAGAAATTATTATAATAAAATGGTAAAAAGAATGTGAAATTATGAAATGAAACGACTCACGAACGAACGAGTCGAGTCGGGGTTGTATCAAGCTAGGCTCGTTAGCTCATAAAATTCCACTTGTGAGCCATTGATCGAGCCGAGCCCGAGCTCACTCACCAGTCAGCTCGACTCACTTACACCCTTCGTGGCCTAATCAGCTGAAGCTCTCAAGTTCAAAAGGAAACCTACTCTCCATTGAAAATCATCTCTCTAGCTCAGAAAATTTAATAAAGGATAATTTTGTATTGAGAAGAAAAGATGATATTATTAAACATAAATAAGAAAATAGCATTAGAATATATCCTCTTCTTTTGAGAATTTATTACCTCATAGTCTCATACAGACAGTATATCAAGATAATCTGATAGCTTTTTTTATTCACTTAGCTTAATAACACTACAAGTTAATCAGTTGACCGTTAGGAAAACAATTTTCAGTTATGTTTTCTTCTACTTATTTTCAATTAAAAAAACATTAATGCATTGATCTACAAAACCTCCTCTTCTTTTGTGAGTATGCTATATATGTTGGGTAATAATCTTTATTCAAAAATGGTATTATATATGTTCTACTATGGATGTTTATATTTTTGTATTATTTGAACAACCTAAATTTTGATCTTTTTTTTTAATATACTATTTTGTTCGATTATTATCTTTTTTTTGTGTTAGATTAATACAATATGAGCAGATTTTTGGCTAGTCGGATTGTTTGGATGAAAGATTTTGAGCAATGAGCTAATGATTGTGTTGGGAACAAATTGTTAAGTTTTGTGTGGGAGGGTGCTTCTAGCTTATGTTTGTAGTTCCAATAGATATGTTAGACTAAGAAGATATTAAGTCCTTTTGAACTTTAGAGTCTTTTGGAATATTGATCAACCAAGTAGTGTTAGTTAAGACTTATGACTCAGACACATATGAAAATTCATTTATTTATTGTAAATGGATTGTTGAGTAGTGAGTTAGATGACCCGTCTTGTGTGAGTGTACCACTAAGGTGGTTGACCAACCATGTAGGTTGTCAATAAGATTGTTGGCCAGTTCAGATGGCCAGCCAATTGAGTGTTTTGGATCATGCAAAGGTCTCTTTTTTTTGTTAATTACATTGAAAGAATCTGTATTGTTTTGATTAGGAGTCAAAAGTTGACACACAAGTCAACAACCAAAAGTCCTAAAATATTATTGGTTAAAAGGGAAGATGCATGGTTGAAATGTGAGAATTATGTGGTGTTAGTAGACATTAGGTATATGTTGTGGCTCCTCTTATTAATCTATCCTAAAAAATCCAATCCTACCAAATTATAATCAACAAAAAATTAAAGGATGAGTGGTCTAATCATGTGAATGGCTAAGTAGGTGTATATGTTTGCTAAATAAAATATATTACTAAATAAATTATATTTCTATAGGATTCATAATTACTATGCTCCCGATCTCTCCTCTAGACCAAGCAAAACCTATGATGGATTAACTTAATAAGGGTATTTGCCCAAAGAATTTGTTAATTTGCTAGAATATACACGACTGACTGCATTGATGATTATGAGAGATTCTAAAGTGACCTAACGATTGTCACTTCTAACTAACTGCTATAAATGGAGTATCATATGACAAAATATTACTAGTAATAATTTATGTAGTTTTTTCAACAAGCTACTCCACTTCATCATTCATCTTATGGAAGATAAATTATCATGGTCATCAAGTTTTGGCACCATGTGACTCTCAAGATTTCAATTACAAACCTATCTCAAGAAAATAAGCCTTATTTCCTTGAGAAAGATAATGCCCTTACCTCCCACTAACTTGTAATATATGAGTCTCTACTAACAAATAATTTCTCCATTTAAATCATAACAGGTTGTCACTATAGACATTCAAGATGTTTGTGTTAGATATGCAAAGTGGAAGTAAGATCCCATTGACCACCTCTCTCATTTGTAGTCGATGATTTCTCTTCTCATTATTGATGATATGGTGAAATGTTGCATCATCTTAACAACCTTCAAGGATGTGTCAATGTAGTTGTTCTCTTGCGTTCATCTAGAAAGCATTAATTTGTAAGGTCTATACTCAACAAGCAATATGTTAATGTATACCTTAAAATTCGCATTATATATTTTAAATGAGTTATCAATAATATCATTATTGTACATGATATAATTACTAAACTTTTTAATAAAAACATCATTAATGTGCGTACTCATTTATTTATCAAAGTTTGATCTAAATATAATGCCAAGGGCTAGCTTTGTTGATTTATGTGTCTTCATATTGGAAATGATAGCCAGTTCATATCCTTAAATTTTTTTTTTGCTTTGGAGGCATGAATGCATATTTTTTTCACACCAAATTTTATATATTGGCCAACCTAACTGGTACTGCTTTCCATGGCTATATTAATGCCTGGCTAGATTCAATTTTTGAACTTGATGGTTATTACACTATGAAATTCTTACTCTCCATGACATCTTGAGTGAGAAGATACGGCTATAACTCCTATTTTATCACTACTTCAATTATTAATTCAAAATAGCTTGAAATAGCCTTCGATTGAGTGACTTTATTAAAAATACTAGCTTCATTAAAGGGCTAATATATAAAATTATACTAATTATAGCATGATCATGCAATAGCCCTTCAATTTGTCAAACTCATTAATGCAACAATGACTAGCAACATTATTGAAATTTTAATAATACCATTCTAACATATGACCAACAAGATCCTTGTTATATTAACCATAAATCACTTGTATTAGCTTGGTAACAAACCTAATATATATTAAACAGTGCATTTTCAAGAGTCACCACTTTAAAAATGTATTTTGTATTATAACAAAATTAAAATATCTTCAACTTCATGAAAATTAGGTGGGACTATCATGTAGATTCATGTTAAACTACACAATTATATTCATGATCTCAATGTTGGTAATAATGGACTTGTATTCTTAGGGACAATTAGCACAAAGATGATAATATAATCGTAATTATGATCCTTCAACAAATTACAAATCTCTCAAAATATTTCTTTCATTTTAATATATCTATGAATATTTTTGTCAAGGTTAATAGAATTTTTGTTCCCCACCATTATATACTTATTTTTATATATTTGTTTTAGATTTTCTTCTAATATCAATCAAATTTAAAGATTAAGAAAAAAAATCCTATTTGATATATACAATTGCACATAAGCTAATGCAATCAAACATGAAGAATTCTTTAATGAACATCAAGACATAAAATATTAGCTACATGATCAATAAATAATAATTAAGTACAAAATATCACATATTAAAAAAAAATGATAAGTAGTTTTTTTTTCCTTATTGCATTTACACAATGCTACATATAGGCCTTCCTTATAAAATGTATATTTCATTTAAGCATTTTTTTAATGTTATTAAAGTTGAATGTTGAGGAATAACTATCAAGCAATCGATGCGTAAATAACATATAACATATGCATCAACAAATCAATGAGATGCTCAACATATAAGCATTGATTGTCACATTATGAAAAAAAAAAATAAATCACATTAACCTCCTACATTATGAGAAAATGAATATATAAATAGGGAATTTTTTTGTGAAGATGAATATAAGCACTAGGAATTTTGTTGGATGGAGTTTAAGCATTTAGAAATGAATGCTTTATTTAGTGATGTATCGGCTGTTGTAGGTGAGGTTGAAGTCATAGAGTTCTAAAATTATTGCTTTTACATAACAACAAAATTCATCTAATCAAGCACGAATCTTGGAGCAAATAAATGATCTGAAAATTTTTAAAATCAATTATAGATTACTCGAATGATGATTTCAACAAACAAATAGTAAAAACTAATTTTTTGATGAGGGCCCAATAACACAAAAAATGCATTAATCCAAGTCAAAATTATCTTGAATTAACCCCTTAAAAATATAATTAGAGAATTTATAATCAAATGAGCATATCAAAAAGAGCAATCCAATGAGCCTAATAATGGTCAATCTTAAAGTTAGTAAGTTACTCAAATACCTAAAGAATTTTATATTTTAAAGGGAATCAATATAGGCCACTAAAAAATGTGTTAGGAGACTTTGGCTAAAATAGCAAAAAAATTCACTAAAAAATTCATAAGTAGACCATCATTTTCACATGAAAGATATATTAATTTGATGAGTGCTTAGAGGTATAAAGAATACTATAACTATTCCTACCAATTAATGCAGGCAATCATCGCCACCAACCATTGTCACTTGATAGCCAACTGCCTACTTCTTCGATTCGATTGTCGTAGCTTGATTGTTTCCTTTCAGTTATTGTCTCCTAATGCCAACATATTGCTTCATTCAATGACAATCTCCTAACCACAATCCTCCTCAATTAACTAATTTTGATGACCATTATCGCATGGTCATCTTTGTTGGTCGCATACTAACATTAGCGTTTGTAGCCTCTCTTCACTTCACCATCATAGGAGGCCAAGCTAGCAAACCATACTTTATAATCAAACCTTCCCCAGTTAAAGGGAAAATCATATTATATATTATTCATTTATACAGTAAATAATTTCAATTAAGCCATATCTCAGAAATTTTTTCCTTATGAGATTTCACTTCGAAACTCATCTCCAATGAGCTTCTTTTATATATGTTTGTCGATTTTCGCATAAGACTAAGGCTTCGTTTGGGACGGCTTTTTTATTGCTTTCTAAAACGGAGTTTTAGTAAAAAAATAAAAAAATTTGTACTAAAACTCCGTTTAAGAAAGCAATAAAAAAGCCGTCCCAAACGAACCCTAAGACATAAAATTCTCATCCTATCATAATAAATATATCACGAATAATTGGTATGGTTTTGCAACTACAAATTGGATGAACTTATCATTAATGGTAAGATATATTCTAAAATTTAAGATTATTCAAGAGGTATTATCTATGCATTGATAAAGGAGGGGGAAGAATTATTTATATTAATCATTATAAATAAAATGATATATATATATATATATATATAAAGGATTAGCCCTAAATTCCTCCTCCACGTCCCACGGGTTTGACTGTCTAAGGTCAAAACCTCCCGTCGATTCCCTTCCTCTGACCACTGTAGCGTGTATTTTTCCAGCGAGTCATTGCGACTTCAAGGTGGAAAACGGCGGAGGCGAGACCACAAATCCGCAGGGCTAATGGGCGGAGGTAAGGGTGGGCAGAAGCGCGGTCGAACACAGAGGCGGCACTTCAGGCAGGGCAGAGAGAACGTATGGAAGTATGACAACAAGAGGACCCGCTCCGACGAGGACGCTACCGTTGAGGATCCCAGCGCTAACCCTAATCCTAATCCTTCCTGGGAGCCCTTCTCAACTAAAAATCTTGGCTTTGAGGAATATTACAAGGTAGTCGCCGCTCCATTTCCTTCCAAAATTAATTCCTGATGTTTCATGACGTATTTGTTGCTCTCCCGTGTCGCTGTGTGCTTAAATTAGATTTCTTTTTTGTCTGAGTCTTTTTAAGTATGCCAAACTTGAATTTTCTTTTAAAGTATGTTTTTGATGGCTTATTTAACTTGCTTGTTGCTTTTGATGCGATCAGCTTTTGATTTGTTAACTTAATTAAGAAATATTTCACTTCTTACTTGGTGAATTTTTATTCTTATTTTCCTCATTTGTTATTGTCTTTCCATTATAATAGTGTTACATTGACCTGAAGGGAATTGTAGAAAACAATGTGAACGAAAGTGTATATATACTGCAGAAGCGCATAATCACACGGCTCAATATTACTATGATATTTGACGAATGGGCCGAGATGCAAAATTGAAGTATGTGGTTTACAGTCAAACCACAATTGAGAAGGACTCACTTAACATGCCTCAACATCAAAGGCTAGGGTGATGGACGGTCAAACTAACTATATTGATGCTTACTATTAATATATAGAATTGGAGATCTATGGAGAGGGAAAGTGAGAGCTTGCTTGTATTATTTCTCGTAGGAGGTATCCTAGGATTTGGTTATAAAAATATAATGTTAAAAATCATGTGGTAATTAAAAATATAAAGTTTTTATGGATGTTATTTAACCTTGCTCATTCACTGGCATTGTTAAGTGATTGACATATGACAATCTTTAAGATTCTTATTGGTGACTTATAGCAGCAACTGTTCAACTATGATCCACTTCTTTAAACTGTACTCTTCTCTTAATGGGATGAGATATTTCCTTCTCTCTCTTTGATTATGCTTGCACTCCGCTGGATATTCCTTCTTAAAATCGTTGGGTTCTACTTATGGGAGAGAAGAAGGCGCAGCTGCCATTTTGGTTAGCAAGTTTATTTAATGCTGCATGATTCAATTAATAACATCATGAGTTAACTAAGGCAATGTGGTAACATGTGACCAAGTTATAGGTCTCACTTTTAGATATGTTCTTTACCTAATTGAGGAGATCTTTGGGCATCTTCATTATATGAGATCATACTATAAGTCCCACTCTTTAGATGTCTTTCTACCACATGAAGGAGATGTTTCTAATTCCAAATGATTTAGCAAGATAATTTTTTAAGAATTATATGATGCATTTTAACATGAAAATATGAAATGCATGATGAGGATAAGTTATCTCTAAATTAGATTGTTATGATTTATTTAATATTAAACTTTAATTTAATATTAAACAAAAATATAGATCAACCTAATTTGAGCATAATATTTATTTCAATTCATGTTATATATGTTTGAATGCATAAGCCACTTAAATGCATATAAACAACAATTACAATGATAATCAGGAATTATATTTAAATCATAACTTCCTATTAATGATTTTAATATAAAAGTAGTTTTCACATCAAAGCTTTAATAAAGATAATTTAATTCAAATGCAAAAGCGTCAAAATACACTAAAAAACATTTTTGATTAATTTTGTATAATACATTGAATTAAATTTTCTGATGTGGCATATCATGGAATATACTCTCCGGCTATATCATTACCTTATTATGCTTCCACTCCCTTTTTCAGCTTTTAGGCGGTTATCCCTTTTCTGCCAATTAGTGGCCAACTCAGCATTTTTAGTTTTTATCTTATTATTTTTCTTATAGCAACAGGAAGTATGTAATGCCCGGGAGAAGGAGGAAAAAGGCAGATTATTGAATACAGAAAAATACAGTTTCCCAACCTTCCCTGTTCTTTTTCCTTCCTGCTTTCTTCTTCTTTTCTTCTTTCCTCTGTTTTGCAGGTCTTTGCTCCAGTTTTCACACCAATTGGTATCAGAGCCTGGCTGTGAATCCCATGGCAGAAGGAAGCAAACGGAATGTGGAGGACGACCGAAGCCTGGAGGCCTTGTGGACGGCCCAGAATAGCATGGCTCGCCAGATGGAGGCGTTAACCACCGAGTTTTTCCGTTTTTCGGCGGAGATGAGGACTGAGATTCGATCCCTGCGGACGAATCAACCGAATGCAGCAATGGGGAGGCCAGTTGCGCCGGCAACCACACCGGTACTGCGCCCACCTCATGGTCGCAGATCACATACCGCCGTTCCTATAGTGTCTGATTCCGACGAGGATGAGGGCGTGCAACCGCAGATGGATGCATCGGATTCGGCCGAAGAAGATAGACCCCATTTTTATGAGCAGCTTCGCCGATATCCACCTCAGCAGCGACAAAATGGAGAGTTCCGCATTAAACTGGACATTCCCTTCTTCGATGGCCGCCTACACATTGAAGACTACCTGGATTGGGAGCACGCCGTTGAAGCCTTCTTCGATTACATGGAGATTGCACCCGAAAAACAGGTCAAATACGTCGCCTGTCGTCTCAAGGGAGGGGCGGGGGCGTGGTGGATGCAACTTTTACAATCTCGCCGGCGAGAAGGAAAGGGCAATGTCTCCAGCTGGTACCGTATGAAACGATTGCTGAGAGGGCATTTCTTACCAACTGACTTCGAACAAATGTTGTACGTACAGTATCAACATTGCAATCAAGGAGCTCGGACGGTCAGTGAATACACAGAGGAATTCTATCGATTGAGCGCGCGGAACAACTTAACGGAGTCGGAGACGCAGTTGGTAGCGCGTTATATTGGCGGCCTCAAGGAAACTATACAAGACAAGCTGGAGATGAATTCTGTATGGACATTGTCACAAGCCGTTAATTACGCTCTTAAAGCTGAAATTCAGCTCAACCGGCCTCCACGAGGAACTGTTGGTCGGAAATACGCTGCAGAACAGGGTGGAGATTCACTCAAATTGACTGCGGCTAGTGGGCACAAGACCACTCCACCTGTGTCTGGAGGTCCAGGTATCCTTGGAGCTGAGCCCAAACCTACGTTGTACAATCGCCAGAAGACTCCTGTGCGGGATGGAAACCCATATGCAAAGCCGGTGACATTGAAATGTTATCGTTGTTTTCAACCGGGGCACAAGTCCAACGACTGCCCCAACCGACAGCAAGTGCAATTGTTAGAAGGGGAGCAAGGTGATGAAGATCATGATGCCGAGCAGTTGAATGAGCAAGATTTCGAGGATCTTCAGGCAGATGACGGGGAGCCACTAGCCTTCGTGATGGAAAAATTGTTAATAGCACCTCGCCAAGCAGGTGCGTCACAAAGACACGCCATCTTCCGCACTCGTTGCACTATTAGCGGCAATGTCTGTGATTTGCTCATCGATAGTGGTTGCACCGAGAACATCATTTCTCGGTCGGTGGTGCAGAAACTTCATCTCAAGACGACGCGTAATCCCCACCCTTACAAAATAAGCTGGGTTAAGAAGGGTGTCGAAATCGCCGTCACCGAGATGTGTCGCGTTACATTCTCCATTGGCAAGAGCTATGTGTGTGAAGTGTTATGTGACGTGTTAGATATGGATATCTGTCACCTAATTTTAGGCCGGCCGTGGCAGTTTGACGCTGGCGCAATATACGACGGGCGCGCGAACACTTATAGCTTTGAATGGAAGCAACACAAAATCAGACTGCTACCTCGATCTGCTGCCGATAATGAACGGGATGCACCCAATAAAGCCACTATGTTCGTGGTTAGCGGCTCAAGTCTTCTCAGCTCTTGGAGGGAATCTTCTTGGATGTTAGCCTTGGTAGCTTCCAATAGCCAGATAAATGGGGAAACCACTGAACTCCCAAAGGCCATACAAGATATCCTGCAGAAGTTTCAAGATGTCTGGCCAGCAACGTTACCTAATGAGCTTCCTCCATTACGTGATCTGCAACACCAAATTGACTTGCAACCAGGTGCCAACCTTCCTAATTTGCCGCATTATCGAATGAGCCCCCACGAACATGAAATCCTCCGAGGCATCGTGGAAGAATTACTTCAGAAGCAGATGATTCAGCCCAGTCTCAGTCTGTGCGCTGTCCCTGCACTGCTGGTACCCAAGAAGGATGGGAGTTGGCGTATGTGTGTTGATAGCAGAGCTATCAATAAGATCACTGCGAAATACCATTTTCCGGTACCTCGTCTCGAAGATATGCTGGATAAACTCGCCGGTGCTACTCTATTCTCAAAGTTGGATCTACGGAGTGGATACCATCAGATCCGAATTCGTCCTGGGGACGAATGGAAGACAGCCTTCAAGACAAGAGACGGTTTGTTCGAATGGCGCGTCATGCCCTTCGGCCTCTGCAATGCTCCGGCGACGTTCATGCGACTTATGAATGAGATTCTTCGGCCCGCTCTCGGAAGGTATTGTGTCGTTTATTTTGATGACATCCTCGTTTTTAGTCGCTCGTTGGAAGATCATCGTGACCATCTCACACATATACTTGGCATTTTAAGAGAGCATAAACTATATCTCAATATAACCAAGTGCGAGTTTGCCACAAGCACTGTACATTTCTTGGGTTTCATCATTTCTAGCCAGGGCGTGCACATGGATCCTCAGAAAATCCGCGCGATAACAGATTGGCCTACTCCTCGCTCGGTGACGGAGGTTCGCAGTTTCGTTGGTCTCGCCAATTTCTACCGCCGTTTTATTCGGGGTTTCAGCATCATAATTGCCCCTATCACCGAGTGCCTCAAGGAGAAGACTCTAACCTGGACGGCGGACCAAGAGCGGAGCTTCAACACCTTAAAAACGGCTCTTACCACAGCTCCTGTACTGGCCATACCTGATTTCAACAAACCGTTCCAGGTGGATACTGATGCATCGTCGGTCGGTGTTGGTGCTGTGCTTGCGCAAGACGACCGACCCCTTGAGTTTTTCAGTGAGAAACTCAGTCCAGCTCGCCGAAATTGGTCAGCATACGAACAAGAGTTTTACGCCGTCGTTCGAGCACTGAAACAGTGGGAACATTATCTGTTGCACTAGGATTTTGTTCTATGCAGTGACAATCATGCTCTCCAATTCATCAATAGTCAGAAGACTATGAATAAAATGCACGCAAGATGGTTAACGTTCTTACAACGTTTTAGTTTCGTACTAAAACACAAATCTGGAACACAAAACCGGGTGGCCGACGCTCTAAGTCGACGAACTACTTTGCTCACCACCGTCCAAGTTGACACCCCAGGTTTGGAAGCTTTACAAGAGCTGTATGCACAGGATAAAGACTTCTCCGATGCTTGGAGAAACTTAACAAGCCAACCGCCAATCCCCTATGCTGATTTTTCTATCAGACACAACTTCTTATTCAAAGGGAACCAACTGTGTTTTCCGGAGTCGTCCTGGCGGGAGCATTTAACGAAGGAATTACACAGTGGGGGCTTATCCGCCCACGTTGGCCGAACGAAGACACTTGAGCAAATGCAGAACCGGTTCTATTGGCCCCACATTCGTCGGGATGTTGCACGATTTGTAGAGCGGTGCCCAATCTGCCAAATGAATAAAGGTAATGCTCAAAACACCGGTTTCTACACGCCATTACCAGTCCCGAACTCAATTTGGGAAGACATCAGTATGGACTTCGTCTTGGGTCTGCCAAGGACCAAACGGGGAGCTGATTCGATTATGGTAGTAGTCGATCGCTTCTCTAAAATGGCACACTTTCTAGCTTGTAAAAAAACCTTCGATGCCCTCAACGTCGCAATACTCTTCTTCAAAGAGATCGTCCGTCTCCATGGCAATCCCCGCGGCATCACGTCGTACCGCGATGTGAGGTTCATCAGTCACTTTTGGCGAGAATTGTGGAAGAGGCTTCGCACTGAAATTAAGCTAAGCTCTGCGTACCACCCTCAGACGGACGGACAAACTGAAGTCGTGAATCGTACATTGGGTAACATGCTTCGGTGTTTGGCTCATGAACATCCGAAGCAATGGGACGATTATCTTGGACAAGCTGAATTCGCATATAACGCTATGTCGAATAGATCTACCGGACAATGTCCGTTTAGCATCGTTTATACCAAGTGTCCAAATCATGTGGTGGACATAGCAGTCTTGCCAAACTGCAAGAGCAAGGTAGCAACTACTACTACCGAAGCTTATACAAAAATGCTACAGGAAGTTAAGAGCAAGCTTGAAGACTCCAACAGCAATTACAAGCAGCAGGCCGATCTTAGCCGGCGGGAGAAGATTTTTCACCCTGGAGACCTTGTAATAGTGCGGCTGCGCAAAGAAAGATTCACGCCTGGCACGTACTCCAAACTCAGCCCCCGGAAGATAGGACCAGTTCCTATTGTGCGGCGAATCAACGACAATGCCTATATTGTTGAGCTTCCACCCACGTTTCTCACTCCATCTACCTTCAATGTGTCTGACATTTTTGCTTACAAGCCACCGGACACAGGTATAATCCACTCTATTTCCTCAGGCGAGGAATCTCCCACGGCCGGGGAGACCTGATGTGGCATATCATGGAATATACTCTTCGGCTATATCATTACCTTATTATGCTTCCACTCCCTTTTTCAGCTTTTAGGCGGTTATCCCTTTTCTGCCAATTAGTGGCCAACTCAGCATTTTTAGTTTTTATCTTATTATTTTTCTTATAGCAACAGAAAGTATGTAATGCCCGGGAGAAGGAGGAGAAAGGCAGATTATTGAATACAGAAAAATACAGTTTCCCAACCTTCCCTGTTCTTTTTCCTTCCTGCTTTCTTCTTCTTTTCTTCTTTCCTCTGTTTTGCAGGTCTTTGCTCCAGTGATAATGGGATTATTGAAACAAGTGATGGTTTCTTGTATAAATGAGAGTTGCCAGATGGTAGAAGACTATGAAATCTCAGCTTTATCTGATGTGATAATTACAAGCTAATCAAAGGCATCAACAATTCCTAGGCTTTGAATTTATATGGTAAGGTAGTCTTAATGCTCTGAGATATGATGGCTTCCCACAGTTGTTTGATGAAATGCAAGCTCACTTATCAACTTGTGAGTCCCATAGAGTCATTGAAATAGTTAGCATTGTTCCTAGCAGTGCAATAGCATCTCAAACAAGTTCATGGCCGTTACAATATCAGGAATTGGTGATGAAGATCATACAACTCATGAAGAAGGAAAAAAAAAGGAAAGAATGAGGCTACCAGATTTTGGACTGAACATATTTACAGGGAACCAAACTTAAAATTAAAATTATAAATAAAATATCAAATATTTTAAAAAATGAACATGAGACAAGTAATGATCAATAACTTGATCTTCTAGCTTCAGCTGGATGAATGGGATTTACAAACTATGTCAAATGGCAGATATGAGTAATTTAAATGAAGCTACCTACAAGAAATAACAATTGACCTATAATCAATGCTACATTTAACCTGTGAATAGGAGCAGAGAATTCTTAGTGCACACAATGATTATCTTACGGGCATGGACAAGAAGATCATATCAAATAAATGAATATGTCTAGGGATAATGGAAGGGAACTTCTAATGCATGTTATAATTCACTTGTGAGCAGGAACAGAGGATTGATAGTACACAGAACTAGCATGTAGGTAGCACTAATAAATTTGTAACAAATGATGTAACTCACTCACAAATAAGAACACGATCTCCTAATGCCTATGGAACTCTTACTTACCATCTTTTATTTTCTGTCGAGTAAAAATGTCTGAATTATTATCCATAATTGCAAAACATAATTCTTCTGAGTCATCAAATATCTTATCTAATTTTGAGAAAAAAAAGAGTGAGATTGCAGCTTGATTTCACCTAATCTTTCATATTCCTCATAAAAAAAAATGCATATAATAAAGTTTGTTGGCAAATATATTCTTGCAAAAGATAACAGATGCCCATCTTCCTCCCTATAAGCTATGCTGAATGATATACTAACTTGAAATATATATCTTCTATGTGATGCAACCAAAACCTAAATTATTTTCATTCCATGAGATCTATAACATTTGTACAAGTGAACATAAGGCAATACTTTTATAATAGACCCAATCTATTACTGAAAATACAACCTGCATATGCTCTGATTTTCATATCTAACATATAAATTAAACGGTCCGAGAATGCTACGTCGGACAAATATTCAAATATCATCCTCCATGAAAATATTGGAGCCTACCTAACTTGAATTATAAAATGCCTCCTAAATTTCTACAAAATATAGATATTTTTCAAATAGCAATTATGTCATCTTTGATGGTGGTGGTATTGACAGAAAATTTTAACCAGAGGGGATCCTATTTTCAAAATACTCAAAACCCAAAGCAAAATACAAATATTTTAAAATTACTTTAAATCCATTCTGATGATGGTCGTGTTGATAGTAAATTTCAACCGGAGGGGTCAATTAAAGCTAAAACCATCCACCTCTATAACCATTTGTCAGGGCGGTAAATTTGAAATTAACCTCAACTCACAAAGAGCGAATGTCATATCGAGTGTATCACTAAGATTTATCATCAAATACCTTCTTGCTAGCAGCGACATGGTAGCATGTTCCCTCTAATCGGATGGTTTTGCCGCAAAATGGCACAATCATATTACGATCATGATCAAAGTCCGTATGTTCCGTAACAGCGTCAAATTCTTGAGTAATGAATCAAATAGTATATAAAAAAATTTAAAAAAAATAAAATAAAAATGAATCAAATAGTATATCTTATAGGCACAAAGCCCTTTTTCAGTTAAGATAGATTCAAATGTATCCTCTTAGACAAATACCACCCTAGGTTTACAAGGTATTTTTAGACGAAGCAACCCATGACTGCTGATAAGGTGATTTCTGTCAAGTTTGGTCGACTACCTCCTCTGACTAAGTAGACTAAGGACCATGACAGCCCGCAATGATGAAATAATGGGATCTTGATTGGGCTCGTCTTTGTTTCACCCATCACTTATTTTAAGTATATGGTGATAAACTTCAAAATTCAAATTCAAACTCAAACCCTAAAATTATTGGTATTATATGCTAGGTTTGCAACCTATGTGACCTATCTTATGGTAAACCTTAATCGAAAGTTCTCTCTAGTTATTGAGAGGGGTAATTAACTATAGGGGCTTATGCCTATAAAAAATCAAAACTCAGATCATAAAGTCCTCAGAAAATGAGGACGAAATCTCTAGGTAGTGTCTTACCTAAAACCCAATATGCCTTCAAAAAATTTACCCCGCAACCTAAACTCCTTAAAACTCTCCTCGCCTACTTAAGCAAGCAAGAAAGAACTGGCGAGGAGAGGTTGGGGTGCTAAATTTTTGGAGCCCATGTCATATATGAGATTAATTGCTTAATCTAAAGAGAAAAAAAAAAAGAACAATAAAAGGTTCATAATATTTAAAAATATCACATAAGTATCATATAATCTTTTAATAATATTAAATGATAATTATTATCATACCTATTGAAATTACATTTCAGATACTCATTGGTTTTCTAATAACTCTAAGGTTTCTATTTCTAAACATCTTATTCTAGTTTTTTACTTGTTCCATAGGATGCCTTGCCAATTAGTATGATATAATATCCAAAAAATATGGACCAAGACATCTCATTCTAAATTTATAATATCATTTATAATTATCTTCATAAACAATACAATAAGATATGACTCAATGTTGATCCCCAACATAAACATAGGATAATTAGAAACTCTTAAGTCAATCAACAAATATTAATAATACTTGCCAATGCTCCATCATACAAATATTCATACATCTTTATGTCTTAATGCTCACCAAATTTGGTACTCAATTATATGTTCTCTCAAAATCAATAAAAATCATAGAAAAATTAGTTTTTTCTCTACATTTCCTCGCTAATTATCTTTAACATAAAAATTTGCTTCCCTAAACCCTTCATATGAAGTGCTGTTAAACTTTCAAAAATAGATTTGGATGCAAAAACTGAGTTATTTGAAATAATCATGTAAGGAATATGAACTTGAAATAGACTAAATTTAGAAGCATTGCCAACAGACTCTTTTTCCAATCAATGGCTTTTACTACACTTATTTCCTAGTTGCATAAAAATTGGTGCAGAATCTGCGGTTTAAAACGCAAAAGTTAAACTAAAATCAGGATCCATTTAGACTTTGTTTGGGACTGTATTTTTATTGCATTTTTAAGTAGCTTTTTATTAAAAAAATAAAATTTTTATACTAAAAGTTGCTTTAAGTAGCATTAAGAAATCATTCTCAAATGAAGCCTTACTAAAAACAATATGCGACAGTCAAAAGATAATAATTCAAAAGAATGCCATTGTAGGAATCATAAGCCAATCAAAAAATGAATAGAGTTTTCAATCCACCACAACAAGTAAAAAGCTTAAGACAAACCTCAACGCTCTTCTTCCCAAACCATGTGCCAATAAGATACTCCTCACCTTCTTCTCCAGGAGATGTATAATGAAAAACATAACAATCTCCAGTATAAAGCTTTGACTGCTCTGAAGATGAAAGAAGGGCCTTCTCATTGCCATCTATACGCCAAACCTAAAGCCAAAACAAAGTTAATATTTGATATGATATGTTAGATCTGAAACATAAGTGACAGTGAAGGCACAAACAAGTGAGTTTGATGAAAAAAAAAGCGTAAATACGCATTTGCAGTTAATATCATTACAGACAAAGAGCAATAGGAATACATTAAAGGGAGTTGACGCTTTTATGAACTGAGAAGTACTGGTAAGGAGCTAAACTATAATTTTGTATTAATCTCCTATATTTGGAGGAATCTCACAGTATGCAAGTTACAATGAGCATCTATAACAAAAAAGAAAGAAAGAAAGCAACATAAAGTCACCTGTAAAACGCCTGAGCTATCAATGCATGGTTCAGGCTTCTCTTTTACAGGATCAGATTTCATAAGGCCCTTTACATCAAGACCTTGAAGCTTCAAGAGAGCTGCCGAGTATTATATGATGAGAAGAATGAAAAATCAGAAAAACTTGTTAGTATGATTACTATATGATGGCACAAAGTTTTGTGTACAAAAAAAAATCATAAATTTTATTGCCAACCTGCAACTTTGCCACGGCCATCTTCCGATGCAGCCACATTAGATGTCTCAGGCCATGAATCAAACTTAGATTGAAACATCACAGTTTCAAACCCCTCAATTATCCGAATCAAATGAGTTTTTTGTCGATCTGGATCTTGAACTAATTCCTGGGAAAAGATAGCTCACATGAATCATGGTCTGAAATACAAGAAACATATTTTTATAAGGCCTTTTATAGAGTGGAATAAGGTGTTTACTTCTGCAACAACACTTGCGCTTTTCCTATCATCGAGGGATGTATATCTGCCCATCCACACAAAAACTTCAACTCCACAATCGATCATGTAACACTTGTTTGACTCCAATAATTCTCTAGTCAACAAATCAGTTTCAATGGTTGTTGTCTTCCCTTTGTGAACACTTCAAAAGAAAAAGAAGAAAGGCAGGGTAGTTTAAAAAGACTGCACATAAGCTTCAGCCATTAAGTGCAATTCCATGAATCTTAAATAAACATTTAAAATGATAGAGATATGGGTTTCCCAAAGTCACCATAATAGCTTTGCTGAAAAGGCCTCTTCAACATTTTCAGCCACTGAGGTTGCTCTTTTATGAAGAGGCGCAAAGCCACCAAAAAGAGACCAGAACTCTCCAGCATCAGCATCAGCCATGAGCTTTCCATCATCTAGAAAAATGGTAAAGTGATAACTTTAGTGCAGCAGCTATTGGACACAAAGGAGACACAAAGACACAGTAAACATACCAACAACTGCGACCTCACACTTCCCATCATGGTGTGTTTCCCTAATGTACTGCACAACTTCTAGAGCTTTAGCCCTCTCTTGAATGGATGAGTTGGACCCATTGAACTGGAAAACCTTAGACTTGGTGTCCAAAAGGAATACATCATCATGATTGAGTGAAGAACGAGTAAAAGGAACCTGGAAAATTGAATAGTAAAGTCTAGTAAATCCACTAAAAGTAGGCCAAATGTTATACTTAGGCTTCTTTTGGGACAACTTCTTTGTTTTTTAAAGAAACTTTCTTGTAAAAAAAGAAAATTCTTTACTAAAAAGCTACTTTGAAAAGCAATAAGAATGCCGTCCAGACGAAGCCTTATTTTAAGCTTATCCACTATAAAATTCACCTCTTTCACATATACAACATGCTTCCCCTTGCAAACATATAACTGAGCTTCATTCTCACAACTATTGACTTCATCATGCCTGAATCCAGATGCTACTCCACCTTTTTGTGGAATAATGCATGGCTTGAAGTATGATAAAAACTTCTCAGTCTCCTGTCCCTGTACCTCACGATATTGAACTGCGCGACCACCGAGAATAGCATCAAGCTCAACAGTCTTGATAGCAGCAGTTCCAGCTTCATCCTGGTTATTTTGATTTACAAGTCCAATTATCATCGATATCTATAATAGTTTTCTGTAAAAAACAGGTTTAAGCTTTGTTTGGGACAGCTTTTGTATTGCTGTATAAAGCAATTTTTTAGTACAAATTTTTTTTACAAAATAAAATTTTGTACTAAAAAGTTATTTTAGAAAGCATTAAAAAAGTTGTCCCAAACGAAACTTTAGAAACAGGGTTGTGGACAGTTCACTTACCTGGCTTGTATCTTTACCAAGCCAATAATGGACATCATGATGCAAGGCACCACTTTTTGAAGCGATTGTCTGCTTAAAACCACAAGAAAAGTTCTCAGAACAAGTACAACTAGGAAATTGTAAGGTACCTCATGATAATTAACAATTAAGAGTTACACTACAAAGAAAAACAGAACTAAAAATTATATCAACAACATGGAAAGAAGAAATAGAAAGAAGTATCTGAGATGATAAACGCCATGCGCAAAGAAGGTAAACAAATTACCGCCAAGACTATGTAAGCATCTCGTGTGAAGAACTTTCCGTATAATGACTTGGGAAAAGAAACAGGACGGGAATTTTCAATGCGCCATATCTCCAAGCCACTGTATAATAGCTAAGTACTTCACAAAATTACAGCTCTTGAATGGGAAACTAAGCAAAAAGATGATAGTAGGAGGGAGCATTAAATAGATTAACTGAAGAGAGTAATTTGAAGAAAGTTTTTCATGAGCTAGCATGGGATCATTAAATCTGATGCACTGGAAGAGTAGAGGAATTCCTCCATTTATGATGAAATGAGAGAAAAATTTTTGATGTGCAAAATCAATATAATCATTCTTGGAATATTATTTTTATGTTTTAATAAATTGATTTATTCATTCTTAGGCTTCATTTGGACAACTTTCTAATTACTTTTTAGAACAATTTTTTAGTAAAAAATTTCTTGAAAGTTGCCAAAAGCTGCTCCAAATAAAGCCTTAGTCATATGCAGATTGAGGTATTTATGCTACTTAGAAAGTTTCTAAGAGATAATGACATATTTTAGAGATAAAAGCATGTGAAGCCATCCACAATGACATGGTTGCAATAGCAAAGGATACGACCTCTGTCCAGCCCCGTGGAATGCAGAATCCAAATCCCTCATAGACACTGCCATTCTTTTCCCTGTATCTTTTTCAAGAAGTTTCTGTGTACTTCGAGCTCACCAAAGAGATGAAGTTCTGTAGCAAACCTGACATAATTAAGCCATCAACAATGCATACATTTTTCACCTAAGAAAACCACTATTCTCTAACAGTACGTGTTGGAGTTCAAATATAATGTTAGAACCCTTATGCAAAACAATCAGCAAAATGATAGAATAGAAAAAGTTTTAGATTACCAATTTTTTTCTTGAAAATTATTTATAAAGATGATTTTGTAAAGACATTATCAATTATCAGACAGGCCCATTCAAACTGAAACATTTAGATCCCAAGCTATGATGAACCCTGCACTATTAGCACAAAACTTCAGGTAGCTAAAAGAAGCTTCGAATCGTTTTGCAGGCTGTTTCTACAAGTTGGGGAAGAAAAGGATTGAAGGATTTGAATGCTAGAAACATGAAGCAGAGCGCATGCTCAGTGAATGAATGAATCAATGAAGTTGAAGCAACTAAGGCTTCATTGGGAACGACTTTATTACTGCTTCTTAAAGCAGTTTTTTAGAACAAAAATTAAAATTTTTTTTACTTAAAAGCTGTTTTAAGAAACAGTAAGAATGCCATCCAAACGAAGCCTAAGTCATTATTTCAACAACTAAAAGTATTACTTGGAATGTATGAGAAGGAGATTTCAAAAGTCATCTATGAAATCTGCTTCGTCCGATGCCCCATAGCATGCTAAGATGAACTCCCCTACCCATAGAATGCGGCCATAAAAAATGAGAAAGAATCCTTCTAAAAAAACAATCAATGCTAGTTTCAAGCTCACATAAAATTGGTAATCTCCATTTAAATCAGAAAATATGTTATGGATCAACCAGCCCACCCAAAAAAAAAAGAATTTGAGTGCGTTAAATGGAATTTCTACAAACAGTTCGCATTATGTCGAATTCCACCGCCATTTCTTCAAAAATTTTGTTTTTCAATAACCCCGGTCCCCTCTTTTCGATCCAATAATAAAAACATGATAGAAAGATTGAAGCGAACAAATTAATACGCACAGAAAACTACAAATACGAAATCGCTGCTTACGTCTTTAGCCTAATGGAGATCCGTATAAAAATTAAAAAATTGGATTGAGAGCGACGACACAATTAATAATCCAAAACAAGTAAAAAATATATATAGCGCACCTGGGAGGACGGTATGCGAAATTGTTTATTCTGCCGCTCCGTCGAGCGAAAACCTGTAAATCATGAAGAAGAAAAGGGACAAAGAGTGAAGGAAAAAGCTCCAAAACCGCCAAAATATAAAAAAACAAGGTTGTTGAACGAAACTTGTGGTCCTGCCTCGCTGGAGTGAGACAAACGATGCATAAAAATAGCAACTTTTTTTTAGCCGTTAACGATAACCGTTCGTCTCCATTTCAGTTGTTGGTCCAGAATTTATAGGCAAGTAAAATACATTTATTAGAAATTTGACTTTCTATTACTCATAATATTAGAAATCAGAAAACTTTGACCTTTTTTTTCTTAGGCAAATAGGTCCAAAGTTCTTCTTTAATTATTCTGTGCGGTTGCCGAAAATTGTCGGAGAACAGTTAATATATGTCATGTCACTCGTTCGCTCGATACTGTTCGGTATAGTTGGTCTCCGAACAACGTTCTGCATGCGTCTGGTCTCAGCATAGAATAATTTTCGAAAAAATGACAAACAAATTGATTGAAAATTTACCAAAAAATCAAAATGATTGATGGTACACAGAGATAATTTCTTTGAAGGTCTAAAATTAAAGGCGATATATGACTTTGTCAGGGTATAATCCATGATTTCAATTCCTCTGACTGAGCTACTTACATATTATAATTTTTTTTTTCTTGAATTAGATTATCTTTATCCATTTAATATTGATCTCTCATATGCGCATCTATTGCTACCAAGAAGATTTCAGCTATAATTTTTTTATAGAAATGAGGATGATGGAATATTAGTCAATTTATCATTTTTTTGCTTGTGATAATACATATATAATAGATTGATTAAATAAATATGATTGTTTCTTTTTATCCTTCAAAACTTTTAATAAAAATATTTTCTCCCCACAAAGAGTAAAAAATATTTGAAAATATAGAGTGGTCTATTTAGAATTGGAGCCATCTACATACTTTTGTTGAGTTTTAAAGTTAAAAAATTTCTCTTTTATTATCCTTAATATGTTGTATATAGATAGAAATATATATATAATTTCTGAAGATTTTATTTTTTAAATTAATGCTACATGGCCCAACCTATTTCCCACAAAATTCTTAGTAAGTTGGAAAAGATGTCATCACATTGCCAAATGGCCAATTTAAAAAAGCGCCTCCTTTTTAACAGTTCTCTTATGGGGCTCAAACATTAAGACATTTTAAATTTTGAGTTAGCTATTATTTTTCTTCTTTTTATTTTCACAATGAGTTTTCTAAAACATATATATATACATTTGAAATTCACTATCTAGTTCAATTTTGGTGTATTTGAAATTTCTTAGATTTAAAATAGTTATAAATTATGACACCTCTAGGTTAAGCAATTGGCCAGTTCTGACCCAAATTGGAAAAATGTAGATGTTTGAACTTTTATCTTTTGAACTTTTTTGCATGTGTTTGAAAGTGATATGAGCATATGAAAATGGTTTGCATATGTTTTAGAGTGAGTTCCAGAGGTTTGAATTTATTTTGGGAAAATATGGAAATTTTTCCTCTGGATGCCACAATGTCGAGTACTCTGGCGCCTAGGTGTTGTGCTTAGTGGCACTAAAGTGCTTAGAAGTAGCGCCTTGTCATTGTGCTCTTGGATTTTTTAAATTGGGAAGTTTACATACATAGCACTTTATAACATCATATTTATATATCTAACACATAAAACTTTAATATTACATACGTATCATCATATATTATTTTAATATCAAATATGTCACTCATATTTCCTTCCTACCACTCATACATTTCATTTTTACCACTCATATTTGATATAAAAAAGAACTATAGGTGGCATGTCTGTAATATTAAAGTTTTAGGTGTTAGATATGTAAATATAGTGTACAGTGATATGTATGTAAATCTTCCTTTTAAATTTTGAGCTAGCGACGTTGTGTTCTGCATTTAAATACATTTTAATTCCCTATTCCATTCATTTGAAGCTTTGGGTAGCATTCGCTGGAGAGAGGAGAGGAATTTTGAGGGAGAGTAGGGATGTTTTAGCCATTTCAAGTTGTTTTTAGCCATCAACCTAGTTCATAAAGTTGTTTGAATCGAGGCAGATCATATTATGCCTATCTCAATTAACAAAATATGAAGTTTTTCGAATTTTCCAATCAAATTTATATTTCTATTACTGAAAAATACGGATAACTTTACACGGGTAAAATTTTTACTATGTAACTTTTTATATGTTATAGATATTAAAATTATAAACATTTTGAATATTTTTCAGAAATTTTACACTAAGGGATTTTGAAATTTATGTTATTTTTTTAATAAAAAATAATATGAATTCCAAAAATAGTACTGTAGTATGATTAAAGTATATTTTACACAATCTCTGATAATTTGATTATGTTTTCTTGGGATCTTAAAAGCACTTCTCTAGAGCTTGTAGATAAAAAAAATCCTAAAATCTCTACTTCCCTCTAAAAATCATTTTGGTAGAACTGCATTTTAGCTTTTCTTGGGATCTTAAAAGCACTTCTCTAAAGCTTGTAGATTAAAAATTAATCTCAGCCTTCATTTGGGGTTGTTTTCTTAATGCTTTCTAAAATAACTTTTTATTATAAAAATTTCTAGCTCATGAATTTTTTGTACTGAAAAACTACTTAGAATGCACTAAAAAAATCATCCCAAACAAAACCTCCATGCAAGTTGATTGAAGTTGTTGCAAGGTGATCAAAGTGTATCATCAGATCATCATTTTCATTTCAATTATTATATTTTAATAGTTTATGCGCTTATTTTTACAAATATGAAACTTTCCTTTTTTTTTTTTTAAATAAGCCTTTAAAAAGGCTTAGTGCATTTTTTCCTGTATTTTGATTCTAGGCAGTGTTTGCTTACTTAATTACTTAATTACTTGAAAATTAGCATACTTATTTAAAACTTCGCACTTATATTAAATTATTAAAAAAAAAATAGTACTAATCACTCCTACTAGATTTAATGGTACTCAATATTTTAGATTGGATCATTGATTATATATTTTTATTTGGCTCAATAATCAAGAGTTAAGAAAAATCAACATTTCTCTATGACATAATATTTTTCCAAAGGTACCTATTGGAATGACATTCTACACACTGACCCTTACTTCTTAATAACATTCCTTTTAAGTATTGGAAGAACTGTATGAAGAAATTTATTAGAAAACAAAACTCACTCATGTAGCATTTTCTTACTCATTAATAAAAAACACCCATAATAGAAATTAATTTTTCTTTAGTGGAAAAGCCTTTTGATGATTGGATTTATATTGAATTTGAAAAAGATAATTAAATATTAAGACTGAAAACCTTTTATTGTGCATTAAACCTTATGGCTATATGAGAACATTTATATATGCTTAGTATTATTAAGGAAACTCAAGAGAATATGATTATTACTTATGAAGATGGTTGAAATCATTTTTGGGTGCACTCATTATATACTTAGGTTTGTAATTTTCAACCCCACGATCTTCACTAGCCATATATAAAAGATACTCTTTTGATTCATATCATATTTAGTTCACCTATCATGATATCACACATAGGGGTGTCAATTTCAGGTCACGGGTTGGGTTTGGGTCGAACCCGAACTGACCCGGGCTCAAACAGGTCAACCCTAAGTCGACCCGGGTAGATAAACGGGTTGGAAATCCGAACCCGGACCCGACCCGACATGGGACCCGAAACGCGGGTGAGCGAGCGTGCGGCGAGCGGCGAGCGCAAAGCGCGGGTCCGCGCGGTGAGCGGGGAGCGCAAGTCCGCGTGGCAAGCGACGAGCGGCGAGCGGCAAGCTCGGGCGAGCGGCAAGCTCGGGCGAGCGAGGGCGCCGGCGCTGGCAGGCGCGACAACATGCGCAG